AATAATAATTTCGGGTTTTATTATCTTTTCTGGGTTCTCGATGGCACGTATTATAACGCATTTTATGTCTAGTCTTACCACTTAACAATGGATGTTTTTCTTGTACTTGCCACGTTTATCCGTTTAAATTTTTGTAATTTCCAACGTTGATTAATTTCGTTAAACAAAGATTTTCAGATTCACGGACAATCTTTTGGTTTGCTGATCGCAATTATTGCAGAATTGAAGCGCTTTATTTAATGTTTTTACAAGATGGGTTTTCGGAATTTCTCCAGCATTTTCAGAACATAAACCATCCCGGGTAAATTTCCCTGGGAATTTCAATAAATCGAAAAAACATCCCATAAACCAAAACCCCTTCAAGGGACCAATAAATTAATACTTTCAATTTTCGCGGAATTCAAGTAACAATTATTTGTTAACCCATTTTGCAACCGGCTTTTCTTCAACTGTTCAAAGAGGTGTGCATGAGACGGCGTCAATTTTCGAATTACTTCCTTTATAAGCTGTAGTTAGCAGCTCAACCAAATCCGGTGCAAAATATCTACGACGCTTTTAGCATTAATTAAGAACGTAACTGAATATTTTGGAAAATATGTGCCCGTTAATGAAAGCAATTGAAAAGCGCCCCTTTTAAAGTGCTTTCATCTTATATGGAGCTCTTCATTATGTTATACAAAGGGAATTGAACTGTTTGCTGGTTTCTTAATCAACGAATAGTTATGGAAAATAAAATGATGCGAAAACAAAAGGAGAAAGCCTGGATAAATTATTACTAATTGCTACTGGTTAATTTAGGACAAATAGGAACACGAAAACTTCAAAAAGTAGAAAGGGCTGGGAAAAAATGTAAACTTTTCTTACTAGAGCTAAGCCTTTTCTCTGCTTCTCTGTTTCGTTCAGGCTGTTAAAATAGTTCGCTTGTTTTTTGCTCCATTTCTCTTGTGGGCTTTCGATTAATTCGATTTTAAAATATACGAACTTCGTTGAAATTCTTCATGTGAAAATTAAAGTTCTCTTTTCCATACGTAGGAGTCAATTTTCGGTTTTCCTTTCAAATTTCGTGTCATCGATTAGATTTGGAGTTAATTTAACTATTAAAAAATTTTAGAAGTAGTTAAAAATCTCGATTTAACTATTGAAAAATTTTAGAAGTAGTTAAAAATCTCGATTTAGCTATTGAAAAATTTTAGAA